ACTTAACATTATTTTACCTTCCCACATTCACTCAGCTTTATCCTTTCCATGGCAGTGCAGTATACCATTGTGTATAAATACTATGTTTTTAATCCATTCATCTGTTAATAGGCATACAGGCCACATCCAAGATCTAGCTAATAGAGTTGTGCTGTTAAAAACATGGGCCTCTATGGGTGACTATGTAATATGAAGTCCTTAACTCCCTTAGGAAGATGCCTGAAGGGGAATAGTCTGATCAGTTGGAATTTCTAGTTTTGGTTCCTTAACACACTTTCCATACTGATTTCCACAGTGGTTGTACTAATTTACATTCCCACAAGCAATAAGGGAAGGTTCCATCTTCCCCACAGCTTCTCTAGCAGTTGTCATTTGATTTCCTGGTGGTGTCCACTCTTCCTGGAGTAAGGTTGGATCTCTGTGTTGTTCCATTTGCATTTCTTAAGGTGGTGCTTCCTAAGACTGTCCTTCATTCTTGGTAGCACTGAAATCACTCAGAATTTTCTTGGGAGAAATGAATTTCACCCTAGAGTTCATATCTGGGAGATGAGCTATCCTGAGAATGCATTTCCTCAGTTTAGGCTTTAATAGCTAAGTAGATCATTTGATTCTCTTCCTTTGGCCAGTAAGGCAGTTAGAATCAGCCCTGGGCAGAAAGCTGGAGACTAGAAGTTTCACCCAGTGGACAGGGGATGAGAGTTACAGCGGCAATCTGCCATTCCAAAGTTCCACATCCTAACTAGCTGGGAATGAACGGGAAGCTCATGAACAGCTTGGGTTTTTATTTATTTATTTTTTGTTTTGTTTTGTTTTTGCAGTACCAGGGATTGAACTCAGGATGGTGTGCCTACCAGGCAGATGCTTATTCTACTGAGCTCTCTCCATGGCCCACATGAACGCCTTATGCTCCCATTTCTTCTTCTATACATTAAACCTAAGGTAAGAAAATTAGTAAGTTTTGGTACTGAAGAGTAGCAAATATGTGGCATAAACTATGAGCACCATCCTCTAAATCCCAGCTTCTTTCTGAAATGAGAAGCTTTGTTTCTCTCTTTCAAAATAAGCACAATAATTCTCACTTCTTGCAGCTGCTTCAAAGACCTGAGAGAATTAGTGCAGCATTAGCACTGAAATGTATGGGCTCAAACGTATTGGTGCTTGGATTCCACTCCTGAACCAAACCCCTGATAAACCACACACGTTCTTCTTTCCTCTGCATCTAGACAGGAAATAGCACTAAGATCAGACTTCGAGTCTCTCCAGTTCAGGTTTCTAGTCTACATTTTAATCTGTTGAGTTGTCCTTTTGATCACCAAATGGAAAGCAGTAGCTCCCGTTCCCTGTCTTTGTCCTTGGGCAATTCACAATCACAACATACACTCAAGCTGCTCGGCCATATAAGACTCTTCAGATGCTATTTAGGTGTAATTTAGACCCAAGAGTCTCAAAGTTTCATATGAAGGGTTTGTGAAATCACAGCTCCGTGGGCCCCGTTCCTAGAGATCAAATCTGTAGGTCTAACATAGGACTGCTAAAGTTGCATTTCCTTAAAATTTCCAGATGATGCTGATTCTTTTTTTATTAATTTTATTGAGAAACAAATAACAATGAGACAGTTTCAAAACCAATTAGTAGGATAGTTTCAATAATTAATATATCGCATATTGTTGTCTTTGTAGTGGTTATTCACAGTACAAGATGCAGAAATGATATCCTGTCCAAACATGATTAGTACAAATCTTTCTTCTCATTGAATTAAGAGAAAGTAGCTGTATGTCTATCCCAACTATATTGTGTATATAGATACAAAATGATCCTTCATTTGTATCTCCTTTTTTAATTTAGTTTTGTCAGAGATGGGTATTCCATTGCCATTTAAATATTGTAGGCATGTGAATTCAGCAAAATAATCCAATATAGTCCAGTAGTCCATAATAGTAATGGGTTATCCATAGGACTGGCATTGTCAGAAGTTGTTGACTTGAGCCTTTTACAGCTCAGCATATTAATATCGTTTACTTTTTATAACTTGCTTTTATACTTTTCTGCTGGATGGTTAAGACCAAGATAAAGCAAGACATATTGAACAAGAAATGTAGCTTGTGTATCTGACAAGGTCAGTCAAATCCCCTCAGAATTTACCCTGAAACCTTGTATCGCGGTTTGTAGATCCTTTGTCAGTGTCAGCCATGTGGATAAGTCATGGCCATTACCTGACCAATTTGCTCTCTGTGAAAGCCTGAGAGAATGTTTTCTCTCCATGTGACTCTTCTTAGGCACACTCTACATCATTGTTCACTTTCCTCTGTGGCCCCATAATCTCCTTGATCAGAAAAATTTGGGACACAACTGAGTTATAGGACATTACAGTCCAGGTTCTCTTATGTCCTGAGTCCTCACTGACCTTGAAAGTCTAGGGCCAAAATGTTGGCTGTCCTTGCAGCCCTACTTTTTCTCTAATTTTTGGTGTGCAAACTTAAATTGTTAACCCTCCATATGAGAAGCTTAATGGCAATTGAGCTTAACCTCACTATCTGTCTGAATATCAAACATCTTAGACATAACCTGGAATGGGTATTTTCCATCAAGTGTTTATAAGTTAAACTTTAAATCTCTACAGAATGTGAAGGAAAAAAAAGAAGAAAATATTAAAAAAAGAAATAAACAATTACATATTTTACACAGAAATTTAGAAATCTAACCATATACAGCATTGTGATGCTGATTGATTCTGCTGGACCAGGGACCAGGCAGAGTGGCAGTGGTCTACACAGACAAGGAAAAGTGGTTTTTAATAATCCAAATCAGTCAAATATAGTAAATCTTACCAAACAATTGATAATGGATTCAGAACCAATGCTTATTAAGCAGAAAAGAGCCATAGTTTGACTACATTTTCTAGATGTAGAGTCAAAGACTGTAGCAGTAGAACAACAGATATTTAATGAGTTTTGACTACATAATTGCTATACTTTTTTCTAAGTCCTATATACAAATTACTTTATTTTTTCATTTTCATTTTATGACAGTCTTACAAAATCCATGGTAGGACTCTCTGGCTCATTCTATCAGGACCATCTGATCCTAGCATTCAAACTAACTCCCCTCATCTTTGTTTCTATCCATGACTTGATTAACAGCCAGAAGTCTGACTTAATTTTCAAGAAGTATGAGAAAATGACAAGGGTAATGATAATAAATATGATGTGCACCCAGCTCAAGATGGCCAAGTGGAGTTCTGCCTAAACCAAGACATCCAATTTTTTCCAGCCCCATTTATCAAAGAGGCTTCCCACTCTCTAACACATGCTTTTGGCACGTTGGCTGAGGATCAGTTGGTATAGACGCATAGGTTTATTTCTGAGATCTCAGTTCTCTTCCATTGGTCTGTGGCTCTAACGATATGCCAGTATCATGCTGTTTTTGTTACTAGGGTTCTGAAGCATGTTTTCAAATCAGGTACCATGATGCCTCCTTGTTTGTTCTTTTTGTTCAAGATCATTTTGGCTATTCAGGTTCTTTTGTGCTTCCATTTGAATTGTAGAAGTGTTTCATTTTGTGAAGAATGTCATTGGTATTTTGGTGAGAATTGCATTGAATTTGTTAAATTCTTTGAGTGTCATAGAGATTTAAATATTAATTTTCCCACTAACATAGGCAATCTTTTCTTTGGTCTTCTTTAATGTCTTTCATTACTATTTTGTAATTTTCATTGTAGAGGTCATTTCTGTTTAGATTTATTTCCAATTATCTTGATTTTTGGGGGGTAGCTATATGAATGTGCTTGCTTTCATTTTTTCCTTTTCAACAAGCTCATTACTGATATTGTATGCTAATTTTATATCCTTCTATTTGACTGAATTTGCTTATCAATTCTAACAGATGTTTTGTTGAAATCTTTAGGTTTTTCTATATCTAAAGCCACATTTGCAAATGGGGGTGAACTTATTCAATCTTTTTCTATTTACATGTGCTATGCTTCTTTCTCCTGCTTGTCTACTTTGGCCAAAACTTCCAATGCTAGATTGAATAAGTCAGATAAAACCCCTTTATATTATAGATCTTAGAAGAAACACTTTCAGGTTTTCCCCAGTCAGTATAATGTTGTCTGAGGGTATTCACATGGCTACCTACAGCCTTCATATTTTATGTCTAATGTTTTTAGAGTTTTTATTTTAAAGCCACATGGAATTTTAGCAACTATTGTTTCTGAATTTTCAAGATGATAATGCCATTTTTATCTGTCTTTTCTGTTAATATGATGCATTAGATTTATTAGTTTACAAATGTTGAGTCTTCCTTTTATTCCTGGAACAAGTCTCACATCATTGCAGTGTACAATCAAGTAATCTAACTTTTAAAATGAGTAAATGATTTGACTAGATATTTCTTGCAGGAAGAAATACAAAGGGCCAAAAAATATATGAAAAATTGCTTACTATCACCAGCCATCAGAGAAATACAAACAGATGCAATGAGACATTGTCTCACCCGGTTAGAGCGGCTGTCACCAGGACATATAGCGAATGCTGGTACAGACGGACGAGAAAGGAGCTCTCATGCACTGTGGGTAGGAAAGTAAGGTGGTACTACCACTGTGGAGGACAGCCTGGGGCTCCTCAAAAAACCAAGCCTGCATCCACCCAGTGATCTAGCTCTCCCGCTTCTCAATAGATGTTTCTCCTCACGTTAATTTTAAAGGAGCCAAGTTCACCAACTTCTCCTTCACTTACAAACAAAAACACCCAAAAATCTACACCTGAATCAGTCTAACGTTAAATTACTTTCAACAGTCTGTGAGGATGGTGAATATGAAAATCATCACTTAACGTCTCAGCTAAGTACTCCAACGGACTTTTCATAGACATCTAGGGCAGGCCAGTGAAGGAAAGGAGGTAAAGGCGGGGAAGCAGAGCACGGGAGGAACCGAGCTCGAGGGTTCAACCTTCGGAGCGGCAGAACCTCCGCGGAGGGCAGGCTGCCGGGGAGCAGACTCTTACCTTTGCAGCCTTCGCAGGTCAGGGCGTTGTAGTGGTAGCCGGACGCTCTGTCCCCACAAACCACGCACAGCTCGTCCCCCTTCACTCTCCCCGCGGAGGCGCCCATTCGGGGCTTCTTCGTCATGGGCGTCTCGGCCACCTCGGCCTCTGCCTGGTAGGCAGTCTCAGGGGGGATCCGCCGGAGCTCGTAGATCCCGGGAGAGTTCCACTCCTCCGGCTGCTGCGGGTAGAAGCCCAGGTTGGAATAGTAGGCAGACGAGGCAATCTGCGGCTGCACCTGGGGAAACTGGACGTTGCTGTACTGCGAGTAGGGTTCCACGTCCAGGTTCTGTCCCAGAGGACCCGCTGCTTGTTCCGAGAGCACCCCTGGGCAACAAGGAACAACAGGACCGAGATTAGCGTCATCGCTCTAGAGCCGAGAGCAGCCGGCTCTAACTCCGTGCTCGGGAGTGCGGGCTCTGAGATCGAAATACACACATTTAACTACACAGAGTAGAAAATTTACGATATCAGCTACAGCAAGGATACTTAACTGCGTAAAGTTAACTTTAACATGTGCATATTAAATCTTATAAGCTCGGAAAAACAGCTGCCACGTGGAAGACAGACCATGTAATTATTAATATGTAATAGTATCTAGTAAACTAGTAAGAAAACCTTCTGCAGCCTACAGATAAAAGGACAAAAGACAGAAACAGTTTTGGAAATACATTCAAGTGTTTTTTTGTTTTTGTTTTTGTTTTTTTTTTTTTGGGGTGGAACCGGGAATTGAACTCAGACCCTTGCGCTTGCCAGGGAAGCCCTTATTCCACTGAGCCATCTCCCCAGCCCCCTTTTCAACTGTTTTATAAGCATACAAAGATGTGTGCACTTTTGCCAATAATTAAATTCAAATTAAAACTTCAAAATATTTTTTTATTTTCAAATGTATAAAGATTTTTAAAGTTTTTTTTAAAAAATATTTTTTATTTATTTTTGGTACCAGGGATTGAAGTCAGGACCTTGTGCTTGCCAGGCAAGCACTTATTCTACTGATGTATCCCCCCAGCTCAAGATTTTTAAAGTTTGATGATATTCACTGTCATAAAAACAAACCTTCCTAGAGGACTATTTGTCAGTATCTTTCAAGATTTAAACCTTAAATAGCCAGCATGAATTTTCTGGTGCTAGAACATTTATCCGAGGGCTGTGTTTGAATCTGTATGAAAAAGTATTTTCATATAAATAAAAATTCTATCTGCAGCAACGTTTTTTTTTTCTTTTGTATTTTAAGGAAGAGTCTACAGTATGATCAGGGTCTCACTACTAGATCGGACTCAGCGATCCGCCTGTGTATAGCCTCCCAAGAGCTGAGATTACAGGTGTGCGCCACCACGCCCAGTCTCAATTGCTGTCTCAGGGCGCCCCAGGGGCGGGGCCGGCAGTGCAGGCCCAGGGATCGAATCCCTGGCCTCTGTGCCTACTTGCAGGCTCTTTAATCTGCTAAACTATTTGACCAGCGCCTGCAGCAACTTTGTAAGAACCATAAAATATAAATAATATAAAATTCCATCTGTAGGAGTCCAGTTAAAAAATGTTTTTGTTCTACCCCTGCATCTGATCCTTATATAGATGAGCAACAATGATGTGCTTCTACCATATGGTGCTATACGAACAGGTAAACTATAGAACATATGGATATTCCTACGGTTACTTAAAATACTCTGCGTGTGTGTGTGTGTGTGTGTGTGTGTGTGTGTGTATGTGTGTGTGTTTGTAGGCAAGGTAAATTTCTGCATGATGCATAAACAGCATATCGGTGACTGTAGGATTATTGGAGGTGATATTATATTATAGTATTTTCTGGAATAGGACATTGAACAATAATTTGTTGTTTGTGACTTTTGCTATGTGCAAATGTTATTTTACTTGCTGTAAAACAAAGAATTTTTCAAAACTAATACAGAATCTGGAATCTGTCTATGTAAATTTTCATCCTCTTTTTAGTGGGGGGCAGGTACTGGGGATTGAACTCAGGACCTTGTGCTTGCCAGGCAGGCACTTATGCTGCTGAGCTATCTCCCCAGCCCTATGTACGTGACCTTTAATCAGACTCCTGGCCTGTTACTGACTGGGTGCAGTTGACAATTTCCCCAAAGCCTGTAAGCCACAATTTCCCCTTCACAAAGCAGATCATCACTATAATGCCTACCTGCCTGGGTGGATGTAAGGATTAAGTAAGATTATGCACATTGAGCCCTTTGCTAAGTTTAGTGCATAATTATTCAACAAATTATAACTGACATTAAAATATAAGGAATCATTCCTACCTCTAGTAAGGTTAGATGAGCTGCTTTCATATGAAACCTCTAGGACAAAATACCCATTAGGTTATGAAAATGTTTCTGTCTTCTAAAAACTTAAACTATGGCTCTTTAGAAAATAGGGGTATTTAAGTTATTCAAAGTACTAGAAAATTGAGTAGGCAAAATAAGAGACAAGACCATGCGTAGACCAGTCTAATTCTTCAGAACACGGGCTGACAGCCCCAGATCAAAATTCCAGCTGCGTCCCTCTGAACAGTGGGATTTTGAGCAATTGCTTAAGCTATGGAGAAAGCCCTGTTTGTCCTGTTGATAACTGGGTAAGATAACACCGATTCACAGTTTCTTATCTGAAATTCCCAGGAGGGAGGCACATTCAGAACTGGAAATTTCTTGGACCCCAGCACAGATTAGAGTGCTCCCTGTGGCAAACCCAGGCTCAGACCCAGCGACAATTTCCACAGCAAAATGTACACATGGTCATACAAAAGGGAATTCATAACGGCCACCAAGTCTCACATCCACTCAGGTCAGGTTTTGCTGCTGAAGCAGTGTACGCCAAACTTACAAAAACAAAAAGAAAATTGGTTTCCAGCACTTCGGGGGTCTGGAATGAGCAGCTAGGGATGAGACTCTACGCACCTACAGGTGAAGGATGCTCTTGGGAATGCTCAAAAGCGTGGTGGCACATGCCTGTGATCCCAGCACTTGGGAGGCTGAGGCAGGAGGATCGCTGTGAGTTTGAGACCAGGCTGGGCTACAAAGTGAGCTCAAGGCCAGCCTGAACTGCCTAGGGAGACCCTGTCTCAAAAAGACAAAAAAAGAATGAGAGAAAAGGTCCCAGCCCTTCTCTGGTGTGGGGGGAGATGGGACTATCAAGAAGCAGTACACAAACAAGTGAATAAGTAAAAATTACAAAACTATGTCATAGAGAAGATGTGGGCAGGGCTGAAGCAGTTCAACCTTTTAAAAAAAATAATTTTATTGAGAAACAAATAGCAATGAGATAGTTTCAAAACCGATTAGTAGGACAGTTTCAATAATGAATACATTGCATATTGTTGTCTTCATAGTGGTTACTCGTAGGACAAGAAGCAGGCATGATATCCTGTCCAAACACTATTAGAACAAATCTTTCTATTCATTTTGAATTAAGAGAAAGTAGCTGTATACCTATCCTATTTCGAATATACAGATACAAAATGGTCATTCATTTGTATCCCCTTTTTTTGTTTAGTTTTGTCATTTTTGTCAGTTCAACTTTAGAGTATGTGAATCTGCGCTCTCCGTGAGAATTTAAGAAAGGGTTCTTCAGTGGGAACACGTGAGCCAGCTATTCCAGGGGAGTCTGAGAACCCCTAAAAGGAAAGCACAATACTCCTGGGTAGGGCCTCCAGCCATCAGTAGGTTCTCTAAGAGACCACCATCCAAAGTGCTAGCTCTGTCCCTGCCCCTCTGGTAGCCACCAACCACTTGAGGATATTGAATCCTCACAGCGTAGCTAGTGATACAAGGAACTAAATGTTAGATTTTGCTTAACTTTAAGTAATTATAATTTAAGACTAAGCAGCCACATGTGGCCCCTGGCTGTCAGACTAGCCAGCGCAGCTCCAAGGAGCTTGTGACCAAAGCATTGCATACCCAAGTGGAGGAGCTGGACCCACGCGACAGCCGTGGTACTTCGTCAAGATCCCACTGTGTTAGGGCTCACCTTCCTTTGTTTCCTAACCCACAGCTTCCCAGGCCAGGGGACCTGGCATCATCTGTGAAGCTGTTTGCGAGTCCTGCAGCAGCGAGGCCTTGTTCCTGTGGGTGTCTCCCTGCATTGTCAGCAGATGACCTCCTGCCTGGGACCTGCCCTAGTTCCGCCAGGTGGAATTAATCTCTCTGATCCTCTGTGCACACCACTCCTGCTGCACTTATCAGAAGCTTGTAGAGTCATTTTCATGTGTCCACAAGCTAATCTTCCGCGATAAACTTGAAGTGGCCTGGGAAGCTGTTTAAGAGTAAGTGAGCCACAAATCTCAGTTCAGTTCACCTGCGACTTCCTAGATTAGGCACTTGGGCAAGACACGGAACTGTAAGCTTCTGCTTCTTGCTCTCCCAGGCTGGAATGTGACACGCCTATGTCAGAAGTCTGAGATGAACCCAGACAGAGAATGGAAACTCCGCAGTCTGTGACAATAACACAAACACTTGCTATGTCTTTGTCATTACTGTGGTTACTCGGCAAACTCTTTGGGCTAAAGATTATATTCTCTTGTGAGCATTTCCGGCGCGTGACACATCAGACATTTAATAAATGCATGTTAAATTGAAAGAGAAGGAAGATTTGCTTTCCCAGCCTTCAAATTAATGTCCCTCTCTAAATATAGTATCAGTTGCTTTGAAATGTCCCATTGAAATACAACAGCAGTCAGCCTAATCTGTGGTCAAAAATATATTCCCTCTGGTCAGAGTTAGAAAGACTTGTCAATTCTTCTTCTTCTTTTTTTTGGTGTGGAAATTTTAAAAGGTGAGTTTCTATTTTGAGAAAATATTTAAATAATAATAATAATAATAATACACTGTCTCTTAATTACAACTGATATTTTAATTCAGAGAAAATAAATACCCTGAACTGGAAGCTTTTCACATACCCAATTCACCATAGGCGGTTGAGAAGAATTTGATATGAAGGTAGCTCATTAAACTTACATAGCTTTTGTTTTCTATTTATTGTTTTTTTACCACTTCCTATAGCTTAAAATATTTTATATCACAACTTTTTTGTATTTTTATAGAATTTAAAAAGAATATTAAAAAAGAATATTATACACTACAATACTTTAATTTTTTTTTTTTTTATACTGGAAATCAAACTTAGGACCTTGCACTTGCCAGGAAAGCACTGTGGTGCTCAGCTATATCCCTGGCCCCTTGTTTAAATATTTAATTGCAATATTTAATAAAATTTTAAAATATCTATATAAATTTATAAATATATATTTTATATCATAATATACCTTCCCTATGTAACTGAAAACATGTTCTATGAAACATATCTTTATTTCTTGAGGGGCA